ATGTCACTATTCTCTGAGTTTTAATCCTTATGTGTCTACACAGGTTTGATAAATTTAGATTTTAAATTTTTGTATGCAGTTTCTTTACGTGCCTAGTATATGTATGAAAAGAATGAACATATCTGATTCGCAAACTTCATAAAATTCTGCATACAATTGGCTCAGTTATTTTTCTTCAAATCTCCTACATGTCATGCATGATGCAGTTGGAACCAGTTGAAGACATATGTCGGCAGTATGTCAGACAAGTTCTAGCAGTGCTGAAGGCTAATGGTCAGTTATCTAGTTAGAAAAAAGACAAGGTATGTGTTCAGATTTGAGAGTTTTGTTGAGTATTTGATAAACAGAAATTACATTTGGAACAGACAAGTTTAGCTTGAGGTTTGAAATGTAAAGGATTTTGGCATTGACTACTCAATGAAACCTACAAACCTAGAACCTTGGAAATTTTAAGTATAAATTGTATACTTATATACTTATCCTATCTCACGGTATGCACTTCTCTCTCTTGATTCGACACTGAGTGGAATGATGTAAACTTATTTCCTTTGGCCTCTCAAAGGAAAAGTATATAAATTTACAATTTCTATTTAAAATTTCCAAATTTTTAAACTTATCCTATCTCACGGTATGCACTTATCCCACGTTCGGACGGCGGGACGCAGATACACTGTGTCTTGTCTGTGCGAACAGTAGGACTGTGTAGACTGGAAACAACCGTAGATAGCGATGCACAAGGGAGGCCTGTTACGGCTAGCGCAACTCCTATGCTTGTGACGAGCTCCTCTGAACTCATTGGTTTACTAAGCACAATGTCTCCCAGGAAGATGGGTGTTCCCGAGCGATGTGGTGTTCGGCCGCAACCTCCGGAGAAGGATGCAGCTCAGCGAGAAAGGATGTCACTTCGCCACGATTTTCAAGGTATCCCCTTAAATTAAAGTCATAGACAATAATCAGGCCAGCCCCTGCTTCGATAAGACCCCCACAGACACCGACCAGGGGCGGGTGAAAGAGAAGCACAACTCGGAAAACTCACAGTTTTAACATTCAGTTCCAGTCAGCATCAAATTGACCATCACTCATTTACATAAGCTTAGTCAAAGGATGAGCCTGGCAACTTCAGAGCCGGAACGCAACAAAATCCACTGGAATTCGGGAGTGACACACTTCACTGACGTAATTGCTTCGAAAAGTAGAGGTCAGGAAATGTGAAATGTCGAACCCTTCCACATTGTGATACAGAATCGTGCTCCAGATTCGTCCAACTACCAAGGTGGTAGTATCCCTTAATATAGAACTGATGAAGTAGTTCTAACCCACAGGCAATCAAAACATAAGGCAGACATCAAGTTCAGATTTATATTCTGGAAAATACAGGGAAGCAGCAACCGCGTGGGACCATCCCCTATCTGGGCCGGAAACAACTGTTGTGCGAGAACAAGGGGTCCAAACTGATACAGGCCATGGACGTCCTTGACTGAGAGGTCCCGAAGTTAGTGGGAGGAGAAGACAGAGTCAGTTCGCCAGAAGCATCCTTCCATAATGGCGTGGAGAGAGCAGTTACTATGCAGAGCCATCGTAGATGCTAACGCCTATGTCTCATGTGGATTGGAAGCTTTCGAGGCCGGTAACCCAACGCAGGTGTAAGCCCGTAGGATGGTCGCTCTCATCCAGACGGATAATGTGGTGCGAGACACTTCCGCCCTGGATGTTGAGGACTGAAGGGGCACTTGCGGAGATGGCGGCAATCTTTAGAAGCAGGAAGAAAAATCTTCAAAGCCCTAACAGGGCAAAGCTGCAGGTCTTCATTGTCATGTGGCCCAAGGATCGTGGACAATGGTGGAATGGTAAAAGTATGATCGGGTTGTCCCGGCAGCTGATTCTTCGCTACGAAATCCCAACAGAGTCCAAGGAAGTCTTTACCATGCTTCTTCCGTTCAAACTGCACTCTGTTCAGAAATCCGAGCAGCTGTAGCCAGGGCTACAAGGAAAAAGGTCTTGAAGGAGATCTTCTCAAAGTCCTTCTGAGCAAAGGGTTCATAGATCGCCAAGGCCAAATTATGCAGCACCACAGATAAATCCCATGCAGGAGGTCTAAACTTCTTAGACTGATCGGTCAACTTGAAAGACCAGAGCAAATACTGAAGCTCAGGAACCATTGAAACTTTAGAGCCTGTGGTGGTAGCCAGGACCGAGTTGATCGCAGCAAGGTAAGTGGCCAAAGTGGAACACTTGAGTTTCTTAGACGACTGCAAATGCTGAAGAAATTCAGCGACGATTTGAGGTGAAGTAGAAATGGCAGATGTAATACCTCTGGACATGCAATATTCCTCAAAACACTTCCACTTCTCATCATAAAGTGAGCGGGTGAAGAGTCCAATGAGCAGAAGTGATGGCCATAGCCACTCTCCGAGAATACCCCTTGGCGATTAAGGACTTCTGCAGATGCGCCAAACCTGCAGAGACAGGGTGCAAATGGTTATGTGGCGCCGATCCGAGTGAGGGAGTAACAGTAGGTCGTCCCGATCGGGAAGAGGAACTGGGTTTAGGTCTGCGAGCTGTGCAAGATCAACAAACCAACTCCTAACTGGCCAGTAAAGGCGCGACTAAAAGCAGTAGAATCTGTCTGGTCGCCCGGAGATTCAGGATGACTCTGGGTAGAAGAGCCAAAGGTGTAAGCGTTGAACCCCTCCCACGAAATTGCCAGAGCGTCGAGATCCCATGCCAGTTGGTCTGGTATCAGCGAGACAAACATCGGGAGCTGATGGTTGAACCGCGTGGAGAATAGGTCGACTTCGGGCCTTGATAACGGTAAGACCAGTTCCCGAAAGGTCTGTGGGTTTAATTGCCACTCCGTGGGAGATCATCTGTGATGACATTCCTGACTCTGGGAATGTGTCTGGCTCGAGCATCGATGGTGAGGGAGTTGATTAGATGGAAGAACCAATGCGCCAGCTGGAGAAGGTTCGCCAAACCTGTCAACCCGAGATGGTTGATGTACCAGACGGCCGTGGAGTTGTCTGTCTGAATCAGCAGGGAAGACCCCCTGAAGTTCCATCGCCCAATGTCGAATGGTGAGAAGAACCACCAAGAACTTGAGTTTGTTGATGTGCAAGTCCCGTTCTGCGGGCGCCTACAGCCCGGCCGCCTGATGATGAAGAAAATAAGCCCCCCGACCCGTGAGGGATTTGTCGAGGAACAATGATGAGTCGACACGAAGGACAACATTCTGCTCGTCTAGCACGACTGAAGCTGAAGCTACCCTCTGGTAGTTGGGGCTTGAGCTGACGTCAGAAAGCCTAGCAGCTGCCACTGAGAGAGCGCTGGAGGAATGCATTGCGGGGTCATGATGCACCTGTCTTGAAGGGTGAACATCATCCTCTGACAGGTGTCGAACAATGTATCGATGATGTGGAGTCTCCCGGATCGCAGCATGTTGGTGAACTACAGTTAGCGGCGAAGTACTATCAGATCCTGTTGTGCCTGGATACAATCATCAATGTAGCTTCGAAGATGAAGTTGACTTCTGTAAGTGAAGGCTTGAGCTTAGGTGAGGAGACCCAGCAACTCTTGCCACTAATGAAGGGATATCTCCTGATAGAGTGCTGTATGTAGTAGATTCAGAGCATGGAGATTGTCAGTCAATCTAGAGGAACATGTACATTGTAAACGGGTGATGAAGTTCGTACGATCGGCATCTGTGGAACATTAGTTCACCAAATGAAGTGTTGGTCCGCTGGATGGAGTCAAAAATGTAGTAGACTAGATGCATGGGGATCGTGAACCTACCGGAACGTTCGCAAAGTTGTTGGAATGACGAAGGTAAAAGAAGAACGGCGACCTCGGGAATGTTTGTTAGGAAGACGAAGGCAGTAAACAAGTGCCTGGGGACTGCAGTGACCTCTGAACGGAGGGTTTGGGCTAAAGTAGAAAACCCGAGTAACACAAGTTGAAGTGTTCTGGGACGTTTCTGTCTAACACCCTCGGTAAGCTGTCTCTCTCGGCTGGCTGAGGAATTCCGACATAATCACTCTTACCGGGAATAGCACCGTTCATCAGCACTGGCGATTAAAAGCTGGGGTTATTATCCGCTGTGTAGGACCAAGACAATTCTGTCAGTGCACTTCATAGTCACTCTCAACATCATAATTCTCCGGTAAACAAACAGTAGTCCGCCATTTGCAATTGTTACCCACAATGCAACACTGACAAAAATCCAGACAACATGGTCTTCGGTCACAGCCTATAAAAAACGGTAAAGGGATGCTTGGTACTTGACAAGACATCACTGCTGGTACCATGCGCAGAAACTTTACCCGTCTGTCCAGAAGCTTGCTGGTGATGGAAGGGTGAGGAAGATGATGAACCAGGCCATGATTGCATCCCGAGATACACCATGACGTTACAAGTTGTCTGTATAGTAGTAACAGGACTCAGTGAAGCATCATTCTTGTCTGGTAATGCACAAACAAGTTGTCGGAGAGCTGATATCTTCGTCGGAGGGTAGATTCCTAAACCAAATCATTCATCAAGGTGAAGATCGGATGGTAGAAGAAATCGGGAACGATATGAGCTCTAGTCACGTAGAAGTCGTGGAGATCCGGGATCGTCAGAGCGTCAAGTGCCGGCGTAATGTAGATGTGTGCGCTACTGACAGCTACTACCTTTGTTCAACCAGTTGAAAAAGGGTACCAGGTGGGATAAGTCATGTGACTGAAAACTTCTAGTGCCTCACATGCCGTAGGGTAATCTGGAGAACCAAGTCAGATTGTCATGCTAAAAGCATTCCACGTCGTGGTGAGAAATTCAGCGTATAACAAAGACCCTGAATAGTAACATCGTGTTGAAAGCTGGTAGTGTTTGATTAATAGCTGGAGTAATTGGCCGTATCTAGATGCAAGTTGACGATCCTCGATGAAAATGTAATAAACCAATGTTGACAAGTTCCGATCCTTCAAGTTGAATGTAGTAAGTATAGATCATCTGGTATCTCGCTCAAGATAGTTTTAGATGAGTGAGTGAGTGAGTATGATTTTACGCCAGATAGCTGTAGATGGTCAGTGAACCAAGTGATCATGTGTGTCGAATGAACCAACATTATTGCTGTATCTTAAAGGCAGCTGTAAAGGTACAGATTCGCCGAACCTCAAGGTGCGTTCTGAAGAAACGTTGTGTTGGAAGTAACATCATGCGACAGAAAGTAATTGCCGAACCATAAGGATTCGGCAAACGCTGTTAGGTCGGCGAATACTGTTGGATCAGCGAACTGGTACTTTCGGTTACCAGGGTCAGTTTGGTGATTTGGATCGGTGCGGTAAGATCTGGAATGGTACTGTGATCTGGTTCTGGTGCAGCGAATTGGTTGAGCCTGACGAACTTGTTCAATGATGAGGTCCAGATCGGTCCGCCAAACTAGTACGGGGTTTGGTTCAGACGAACGAGATGAGCCATTCCTTCCTGAAAAAACAGTTCAGCGATGTCGAGTCAAACCAGCCTGCCGGAACGGTTTGGTGATGACACATGGATTAGTTCAGCAAACCATGACCAGGTGAATGTGTTGTAAGTGTCTTGGAGTCATCCCTGACAAGTAAGGTAATGTCTGATGAACCAGTAGGCTCGGAATCTTCCGTGTTAGAAGTTGTACGAGACAACACTGGGGATTCGCCGTTAAACGGATCTGATAGATGTGGGGGAAACGAGATTTCGAGCAGGTCGTTTCGGCAAGAAAATCTGAATATTGGTAGGCGGTTGATCCAAACGGTTCGGTGAACCATGTTTCCACAACGAAAAAGTGAAACTAGAAAAAACAACTGAGTTCGGTGAATCACCAAGAGATGTAAGATCTGGCGATAAGCACTCATAGAAAGCTGATTCGTGGAATGCCGTTTCAGTGAACGATGATTCGTGGAATGCCGTTTCGGTGAAAGCTGTTTCGTAGAGAACCGGTCTCATTCCGGGGAAGGTGGACAATGTGGCGAAAGTTGAGGTGGAGGGGAGCGGACAGGCGAAGCGTGATCTGGCGAACTGTGATTCGATCTGGATGGCTTCGACGAAGCAGAAGACCGAGGTAGCTGGACGCAAAAAACAACACTTCTTTTCGCGAATGGGAAGGAGGCGGTGAAGTAACCACTGACAGGCGTTGAGGCGAGGTAGACTGGTTCCTCTCACTACTGGATGAACGACGAGAGCGAGAACGGCTTTTGCGCATGCGCTCTGAACAGTCAGGTGTAGAGATCAGCTGATTCTTGTCCGAAACAGATAAGCCAGGTTGCCGAGATAACTGGTCCAGAGAGCGTAGTTCCAAGGTCCCTGATGTGTAGAGGCATCCTGAAGGGTGGTATCAGTCTCAACAACCACTACCCGGGACGTGGTCGAAGACGAAGGGCTCGGGCTGGAATGTTGAGAGACAAATTCCGAAGGTCTTCCAATAAGTAAGAGCCTGACGACACTCTCATGAAATCCTCTTCATTCGAGGGAGGGGACTGTGACCGCTGAGCAGACAAAGTCGGACGCTTAAACTTTCCTTTCTTGGAGGGACTGGGTCTGTCTAGTGAAGTGGCATAACGAGCCCTGTCAGCAACACGACAAGCACAAGCCCAAGTGTAGTCACCAAACGCCTCAAAGGTAAGATCCTTGCATTTATCGCAGCGAGAGTCCCATTTACACTGTCCCACACAGTCAACACAATACGCATGTGGATCACTCGCGGAGAACACTTTATTACACCGGGAGCATCTCTTCCCCCTTTTTGGCTGGTCAACTTCCCCATGTTGTAGACTAAGTTGAAAACGTTGAGCAAAGCAAAACACGTTCACACTCATGTGCGACAAGAAAGAGAATGATGATTCAGAGATAGTCACGTGGGTAGCTAGTGGTGCATGCCGCATGCTTGGCATGACAGCTAGGAAGCTGACTTATAATGAGGGTAGCATGGAGTGCTTGGGCGGATGGACAAGATAGGCCAAGGGAATAAAGTTAACATCATTCAACTCAGTGTCAAATCAAGAGAGAGAAGTGCATACCGTGAGATAGCATAAGTTTAAAAATATACAGTATGTACTGACATTGTAAAATACAAACATGATCTGTCGTTTTCTAATTTCTATCTATCTAGGTGACTTTCAAAGTTGTGAGACATGAGAAAGGTCTGGAATGCAAGAGTTCACCATGGAATGTAATAACACCTTGATAGAATGCATGACATCACCATGATCACATGCTTTAGTGATAATTGAGCTCATCCTCATCAGAAAGTGATGAAAAACTTGAAATGCACCGACTTACTCAGTAGAGAGAGCACATCATTTTGTATTTCAATAACAATACTGGTCAATCACGTTTTACGTTGTATATGATATCTCTGAGTGTGACCACCATAATTCATATAAACTGACCCTATATTTTATATATGAAGAGTCCCCAATTGTCCTTTTCCTGGCAGAACACCACTTATGCATCCCAGTCAGGTATGGCATATATCATTTGAAGTGTTGAATCATAACTGACATCAGTCAATACAGACTGCAAAGGAAGATAAATTAACCCTTTAGTATGTATGATTTAATACTACAACTGAGTGCACAGTGTGACAACGAAACTCCACTTATCCATATGACATAACTAGATTACAAACTGATTAGTTAAATAACCTCTTAAGGGATACAAAGTTTGATTATATTTGACTGTAAATAGGTGAACTACAGAGAGCTTGGTATATACACTATATATGTTGTGTTGACCAAAGGTCTACTGACGATGTATATGTGTTGTCCAAAGGTGTATTGATAATACACACGATGTGTTGCCCAAAGGTGTACCGATAATATATATGATGTGTTGCCCAAAGGTCTACTGATAATACATATAATGTGTTGCCCAAAGGTCTACTGATAATACATAGGATGTGTTGACCACAGGTCTACTGACCATGTATATGTGTTGCCCAAAGGTGTACTGATAATACATAGAATGTGTTGACCACAGGTCTACTGACCATGTATATGTGTTGCCCAAAGGTGTACTGATAATACATAGGATGTGTTGACCAAAGATCTACTGACCATGTATATGTGTTGTCCAAAGGTGTACTGATAATATATATGATGTGTTGTCCAAAGGTGTACTGATAACACATATGATGTGTTGCCCAAAGGTGTACTGATAATACATATGATGTGTTGACAAAAGGTCTACTGATAATACATAGGATGTGTTCACAAAAGGTCTACTCACCATGTATATGTGTTGTCCAAAGGTGTACTGATAACACATATGATGTGTTGACCATAGGTCTACGGATAATACATATGATGTGTTGTCCAAAGGACTACTGATAATACATAGGATGTGTTGACCACAGGTCTACTGACAATGTATATGTGTTGTCCAAAGATGTACTGATAATACATATGATGTGTTGCCACAACATCTACTGATAATACATAGGATGTGTTGACCAAAGGTCTACTGACCATGGATATGTGTTGCCCAAAGGTGTACTGATAATACATAGGATGTGTTGACCACAGGTCTACTGACCATGTATATGTGTTGCCCAAAGGTCTACTGATAACACATATGATGTGTTGACCACAGGTCTACTGACAATGTATATGTGTTGTCCAAAGATGTACTGATAATACATATGATGTGTTGACCACAGGTCTACTGACAATGTATATGTGTTGTCCAAAGATGTACTGATAATACATATGATGTGTTGCCCCAACATCTACTGATAATACATATGATGTGTTGACCAAAGGTCTATTGACCATGTATATTTGTTGTGCAAAGGTCTACTGATAATACATATGATGTGTTGACCAAAGGTCTAATGACCATGTATATTTGTTGTGCAAAGGTCTACTGATAATACATATGATGTGTTGCCGAAAGGTTAACTGACCATGTATATGTGTTGTCCAAAGGTGTACTGATAATACATATGATGTGTTGTCCAAAGGTGTACTGATAACACATATGATGTGTTGACCATAGGTTTACTGACAATGTATATGTGTTGTCCAAAGGTGTACTGATAACACATATGATGTGTTGACCATAGGTCTACTGACAATGTATATGTGTTGCCCAAAGGTCTACTGATAACACATATGATGTTTTGACCACAGGTCTACTGAAAATGTATATGTGTTGCCCAAAGGTGTACTGATAACACATATGATGTGTTGACCATAGGTCTACTGACAATGTATATGTGTTGCCCAAAGGTCTACTGATAACAGATATGATGTGTTGACCACAGGTCTACTGACAATGTATATGTGTTGCCCAAAGGTGTACTGATAACACATATGATGTGTTGACCATAGGTCTACTGACCATGTATATGTGTTGCCCAAAGGTCTACTGATAACACATATGATGTGTTGACCACAGGTCTACTGACACTGTATATGTGTTGCCCAAAGGTGTACTAATAACACATATGATGTGTTGACCATAGGTCTACTGACAATGTATATGTGTTGCCCAAAGGTTTACTGATAACACATATGATATGTTGACCATAGGTCTACTGACCATGTATATGTGTTGCCCAAAGGTGTACTGATAATACATATGATGTGTTGTCCAAAGGTGTACTGATAATACATATGATGTGTTGTCCAAAGGTGTACTGATAATACATATGATGTGTTGTCCAAAGGTGTACTGAAAACACATATGATGTGTTGACCATAGGTTTACTGACAATGTATATGTGTTGGCCAAAAGTGTACTGATAATACATATGATGTGTTGTCCAAAGGTGTATTGATAATACATATGATGTGTTGTCCAAAGGTGTACTGATAACACATATGATGTGTTGACCATAGGTTTACTGACAATGTATATGTGTTGTCCAAAGGTGTACTGATAACACATATGATGTGTTGACCATAGGTCTACTGACAATGTATATGTGTTGCCCAAAGGTCTACTGATAACACATATGATGTGTTGACCACAGGTCTACTGACAATGTATATGTGTTGCCCAAAGG